CTCAGAGGCGGTGGAATAGGAGGTGAGGTAGAGGTCGAGTTGGGAGAGGAAGGTGTCAACGTCGATAGAGTTCTTGTCTCCCGTGAACTCTGTAGGTTTGGCCATCTTGAGATCAGAGCTCGAAACTCCAGAGGTAAATGCCTGTGTTGTTGGCGTTGTCGTACGAAAGGCTTGCAAAGCCGTGATCGTTTGTTCTGCTGCCCTCAGCCTCTCTGCTAGCTCATTCTTCTCTGTGTCTACCCTGTTCAGGTTCTTGGCTAAGAGTGCGAGATGGTCTTTCATCTTGTTGTACCAGTTTTGGTTGAGCTCTCTTTCTTGGGCAGTTATGTGAAATATGGCGTCCGAAATGCTCTGGTGGGTGATGGTAGTCCCCTCTGGGCCTAAGATGCCTTCCGCTACCACAGAGGCTGGCCTCGACGGGGTTGGTGTGGAGTTTTCTGCAGATACCGATGGCCCTGCTCCTAGTGTCTGCCATCCGTGAATTTGTGTGTGGTGCGGGGCAGGGGATTGGATCGTTCCCCAATCTTGCTCGGACATGAAGGAAGGGACAGTTGTTTTCTCGACAGGTATTGTTATTGTGGACCTGTAGGGCGCGGTCTCTGACGAGATGGGATCTCCAAGGGGGAGCTATGATGACTATAGGTGCGAATACAGCGCGTGTAGCGGTTCGTCAACCTAAGTAAAACTCGAGAGGAGTTTTGGGAGTGACGCAGTGAAGTTTGGGTCTTCTTAATACCCACAACCTCCTAAGGTAATGTAACTAGGGTTGTAAGACCCGCGAGTGCCGTTCTTTATAGTACGAAAGAAAAGTAGGTAGTGTGCAGTCGGTAGGGTTTTGGACCTAACTGCAGGCGTGCAGAAACAGGACCTAAGTGTCACTGCTCCTTATAGACTGGCGGCTCACATAGGGCAAGGGCCTGGTCTACTTCTACAAAAGACTAATGTAAAAGAAAATGATATAGTGCGCGTCTGGGAAAGATGATTTGCAAAATGTAATCCGTGAGAATACTCTCAGCAGAATAGCATGGGTGAAGTTTTATCAAGGACGAGGCGTCCAGGAGAATGTTCGAGTCGGAGTGGTAAGAAAGACTTAACCTAATGTTATGATCAATGTTTCACCTAATGGCAAAAGGTATCACACAACCACTAGGACTCGTCAAGGATGAGATAATCAGATAGATTGAGAGGTAAATGTCTGAGTCTACACTGGGTAGGAACGAAGAGGTTAAGTCTAAAGAGAAACTACGCTAACTACCCTACCTATATACATAACATTGAGTCAGAGTTATCTGAGTCTGTAAATAATCAGCCAATGAGAAAGAATCGTACGATACTGCGCATGATGTAGTATGATGTCACAATATATAAGCAATGATGTCAGAGACGGAGATTAAGTGATAGGAAGACATATGGTTCTAGCCCTGGGCGTAGGGGATCCGATCGGAGATGTGACTGGTGAAATGTGAAGGGGTGAAACTGTGATATGGTGATAATGTGATAATGTGAAAGGTAGTGGTGTCATGTGACCGGTTCAGGTATGGGACATAGCCGAAGGAAAACCAAGAAATGAAAAATGATTCGTGTTAGGGATTCGTGACACAGTGAGCATAAAGACCTAGAGATGATCACTGTGACATACCTTATTGCTGTCAATATACAATGTCCATTCTTCCTCAGCAGAAGGCCCCTGAATATTTGCGCCATGTGTGTTGTCCCAATGACAGCTTGATCTGTTGTACCAATAATTGATCTTGTTGAAGTGAACCTTCAGCTGGGTATTAGTGGATCAGTGTGGTGCTAGCAGCTGAGTGGAGAGGTACCATACTGAGGAAAATTTGTTCTTACAATGTGTCCCAGTCTTTGTGGGGCCAAGTGTCTTCTTGCTGGCAATATCTAATGCAGCTAAACTGAAAGTTCTGAGCTTGAAGGTAGTTCCTGTAAGCTTCAATCTGTGTTTGATCAGATAGTCCAGTAAAGCATGAACCTCTGCTTCATTCCAGATAGCCTTTGGTGCTGCTGGCACCTTAGATTGACACTTGAGCGATCTGCATTATCTGAAATTGTGTACAGAGTATGATAGCAGAAACAGCTGCATATATATGCTTTCAATATTGATGATTGATATGATCCTTGGCAGTAGTGAGTGTAGTCATGGTCAGAAAGAAAGAAATTTCAGACTCCACACTGGCTTGTTGTATGCTGCCAACTAGCATTTGTCAAATTTTGGCTCAATATTGGTTACCAAACTGGCTTTTAAGAATTGAGCATGCCTGCTGGCAATCAAAAGGTCAAATTGGAAGGTTTAGTGTTACAGCTATTTTCATATTGATAGACCAGAATCTGGAAAACTCATTTAGCCGCTTTTATTTGTTGTTGGAGTGACACCAAACAGAGGCACTCACACTAGCTACTTTTATAACTTGCTTGTGGAATACTAGTACAACAACTGCTGACCATCATCATGATGCACAGAAACTGGTGACATACACCAGATGCTGTGAAGCAGCAGTGCATTGTTATGTCCACACATGGCATGACATCAAAGGCCATTGGCAAGTGACAGGATACAGCCATCAAACAGTCAATTGAGTTCTTCAGCTCTCACAACTCACAGGCTCTGTCATTTGAAAACCTCTGGAAATTGGTCGTCCTCATCTACTTACAGCACAGGACATTGCAGTAAGGGAAGGCACAAAAGTATTTTGAATTTAATACCTAACTGTGACAGCACCTTATTTCATGTGTTGAGCACACTCTAGTGGTGGCCGAATCCAGTTCAGAACCACGGTTCAAACCTGAACCACTATGAACTTGACCGAAGTCTGGTCCAATGTTCAGGCTATGGGGGGAACCGAACCATTGGTCCGGTCCATGGTTCGATGACCTGTAGCAATTACTGAACAAGTTCAAACCACTCAATGTGAGATAGGTAAGATTGGTAGAAATCTTGTATGCTGTGGTATGTAGTATGTACCTTGTTCGATGTGTTCATTGACATAATTGGATTCTCTTTCACTGTTTTAACTTATGTTTGATAACAAGTGTTAAGGTTGTGCTCAAGGGAAAGACTACTCAAAGGGCTTCAGCTTCAGCTCGTGCGCTGCACCCCTTACCCGAGTACGTGCCCTTAATTTCTGAGGGGCAGAGGGGAAGTCTGACAGAAGTCTGGGGAGTTCCAGAGGACAAATGCCAGTGGAGTTCAGTGGAACTCCTGGAGACTATGTGGGAATGGAGTAAGGCTACTATGGACAAGTCCGGAGTAGAAACAGAACAGAGGTTAGACTACCCTAAAGTATAGCCGGAGAATTAGTCCTAAGGTTTTACCCCTAAGACTCGGAGGTGGACAAGAGATGAGACTCAAGTCCAGAGATTGCAGGAATAAGCAGAACTAAGATGATATTCAAACTAAGGAGTTCCAGAGTATTACAGGAGTTTATACACTGTAGGTATCATGTAAGTAATCAGTCAGCAAAGGTAAGGGCTATGTATGAGGCATGTAGAAAGTATTAGTAAGTGTAACGGATCAAAGCAGTGAAGTCGGAAATGAAGTAAGAATGGACGGATCAGTAAGCATAGCGGAAAAGGACATAACCGGTAACTGGAGCAATAGCTATTCTAAAAGGAGATAGGGGTGAGTCCGGAGATGAGAGCGGAGCGCCGGGCAAAATAACAGGATGGAGGACTGGACTTTAGTGGTGGGGTTCCGGAATTCCAGATCTGGAGGTACAGGATATGACAACAAGATTTGACTTCTTTTGCCCGTCTTGTCTTATATCTCTCTGTATATGGCGAGTTCATACCATGTAGCAAAAATAACATAACTGATCCACATTAATTTGATAGGTATTAAGGCTTTATTCTTGGCAGCACACATCTGTGAGTTGGACTGCTTGACGACACAATGTGTTGGGATCACTTGAAGTAATGTTTGATTCTTGATTGACGACTCAAGTAATTTGTTGCAACCAAACAGATGTTTCTTGATCTATCATTGAACATTATTCATCGCTGAGCGAACCTGTCACCTCTCAAGGTCATTTCTATACCATGTCCGCACAATTCGAAGAATCAATGCAAAGGGATAAAAGGTACACAACAAGCTGAGTTCTCATTCACTGTATGCAACTATGTCTGACAGCACTGTTGGTCCTAATAGCCAGTTGAAAGATGCCTCTGACATAGTATGGTTCCATGATGCAGATGACGAGTAGCCCATCCCCTCCTCAGCTACAACCAACTCTGCCCCATTACATCCATTCTTTGCTGGTGCTGCAGCCCCTGCAGCTTTGGTAGCAGGTGCTCGTCATTCTACTCGAGCCACTTGACCTTCAACTGTTACAGTAACATGAGCGCTACATGTCATTTCATTCTTCGGGCTCGTCTAGACCTAGACCATGGTTACAACTATTCCCCTAGATCGTTGAAACCCGGCTTCTACCGCACCCTATGCCCTTCCCCTTGTCTCGGTTCTCTCGTTGATGGGGATTCCCCATGCCCTTTGCCCTTACCGCTCAACCGGTACTTCTGACCTATTTATACTTATGACTCACACAACCCCGACCCTTACCACTACTTCGGTATTGCCTTCGCATACCCTGTACCCTTACTGCTCCACCGGTATATCACCCTTACGTATATATATATCCCATTTGTACAGTAGATAGATTCTCTAACTTGAATCTACTCAGTTTTCATCTGATCTTGTCGTTGGGTCTGAAAGTTCTCTTGTCTAAAAAGAGAACTCCCTCTGCACAAAGAATCATCTTCTCTTGAGACAATACTCTTGAGTTGAACTCCGTCTCTTGGATCATATCCTCGAGAAACTCCAATCGACTCTATGCAAGTAAGGGCCTCAAACCCTTACTAAGACTTAGCGCAGGCGAGCTCCTTGCTGGGCTAGCGCTGAGGGCCACGCTTTGAACACCCCTTGCGGGTTTAGCGCTGCCAGATCCCATCCGAGAGGTTTCGCATAACATCAACAAGGGTACTTGATCCTGACAATGTTGCATCATCCAGTACCACCCAAGGTAAACGGAAAGCTGCTGATGATCTGGGTGCTACCAGACGACAGGTTGCACGCAAGATTATCACAAGTCCTACTGCTTCTGGTGACAGTGGGGAGTCCAATGGTGATGTAGAAATTGGTGGCACTGATCTTGATCCTGGCACTCAAGGTGGTGACACCAAAGCTGAAGATGATGCGGAGCATGCATATGCATCAACTGAAGCTATGGGAGATGCAGATTGCAAGGTAAGCCACTAGCATGATCTATCAATATTTTTCTCATATACAAATCAGGGTCAAACTTGTCATCCCAAGGTTGAACAAACTGTGGATGTTCACACTATCTTCATCAAGAAGGATGACTACATAGACCTGCACACTGGGCTGGTTGAGTCAGAACATGTGTGCACAGTCTGCCAGTAGGTCTTTAATAATCTGTTTCAAACACTGTCCAAAACTTTCATTGTGTAGAAAGAATGGTGTTGCTGCTAGACATTGCTTCTTCAAGGGCAGTATGTCAACACTCCATACCCATATTTCGAGGCAAATGTTCCACATTACTAATCAATGGACTCCTACTGATGAGAGAATGTAGGCATCCCAACCACATTAAGGTTTATCAAGAAAACTGCAAGAAATTAGATATTCCCTTCAATGAAAGGGTGTGTCCAAAGTCTGATGGGTCTGGAACCCTTGATAGGTATATTTGATTCCACATTGATATTTGGCTTCATTATTAATTTACATTTCAGTCAACAAAGTCTCGACAGCATTGTAGTTCATCAGCCACAAGCACCCATATTCACCACCAGTGGCCTCCTCGATTATGTTGTGGAGTTGATTGTGTGCGAGGACAAGGTAAGGCTTTGTCATTTGTCATCAAGGTAGGCAATGTCTAATTTGCATCTTCAGGCATTCCAACTTGTTGAAAAAGGCCCATTCCGTCACCTATTGACTTACCTCCAACCATCTCTGTCCAACAAGGACATTCCACACCACAAGGCCATTTGCCAAGAAATTATGAAGAAAGCAGAAGCTACTGAAGCAAATCTTAAAGAAATTCTAAAGGTATTGTTATTTTGACAATATCTAACATCCTACTAATGGTAGTAACTCACTGCAGGACATACCTGGAAAAGTCTCCTTCACATTCAATGCTTAGACGTCCGACCCTGGTGATCCGTTTTTGTCTGTTACCAGCCATTATATCCATACACAACTAGATCAACCCAATGACTGGAAACTTCAGACTGAGCAGCTGGCCTGTTCACCTATTGAAGGATGTCATACCGGAGCTAACATGGCTCATTTACTCATGCACACAGTTGATCGCTATGATCTTTGTCCAAAAGTAAGTGTCATCTTTTTTAATTTCTGTGTTACTAAATAATGATCAGGTTGGTTGGTTTACCTGCGACAATGCTTCAAGTAACAATACATGCCTTGTGGCATTTGCTGATATGATCAATGCTGACAAGGAAGCTGGTGCAAAGAGGTGGGATCTAGTACAAGGCCACATCAGATATGATCACCAGCGTGATATGTAATTGTATGTTTCATCTCATTGTTTGAGCAGATGAATGGAACATGCCATCAACCTCACTGCCAGACATTTTGTTACCACTGTCTCACCAACATCAGCTTGCAAGCTTCTCAAAAAGATCAAGGCAGCATTCAAATGTGCTGAGCTGGAAGGTAAAGATGTAGATGTAGATGCTTTAGAGGCTGACTTGGATGAGATGGATGACGAGGGGGAAGGTGATAGTGGTGACAACCAGGAGGACAAAGACAAGGAATTTGGAGTTGGAGACACTATTGGAAAGGCACTAGCACTTGTGAAGCAGGTATGCTATCTTGCAACCCTTGTTTCTGCTGTCATACTAACCAGTACATGTTACAGATTTGTGCATCACCCTAGGCTCATGCTTTTTTTGCCCAATCATGTAAGCAAGCAGATGTCCTGATCCTTGAGCTGATGCAGTGGGTGTGAACATGCTGGGCCTCAATATATAGTTTCATTTCATGAATGCTGTTGCTTCAGAAGGCATGTCTCTTTCACGTACTATGTTCTAAAAGCTCATTTGTATTAGGGTGTCAATCTCTTTGTTGAGCTTGCTGATGACAGCAAAGATGTTATGGACCTTAAAGGGAAGTCCTATGCAGACTTTCGACTCGACAAAAGGGACTGGGAAAAGTTAAAATTAATGCACGAGGTTCTACAGGTTCGTTGTCACAAGCTAATTGATTATATTCTTTGTATACTCATAACAACAATAATAGGAACCAGCAAGTGCTACGCAAACATTCTCTAGCTCACATGACCCTTCTGTCTGGCACACAATTCCTGTCTTCAATTTTTTACAGAAGTTGTGGGAAAATATGGCAGATTTTCCGCGATTTTCCAAAGTCAGTGATGCTATTCAAAAGCTTTGGAAAATGTTGCGAAGTGGTATCACAAAATGAAGGATACTGACATTTATTTTATTTGTCTTGGTATGTTCACATTTCCTTTCACTTATGATGATACTGACAACTTGTTGGTTTTGAAGCCCTCAACCCAAATCTCAAGATCACATATGCTGAACATCAGTGGGACAAGACATCATTCAATGTTGGCCTTGATAAACTTAGACAAGCAGTAAATAATGTTTTCCTTGATCTCTATGTGCTTGTCTGATTTAGTATGTCCATAGTTCGATGAGTACTATGTTGCCCCGATTTCTGTTGCTGCAGAGGCAAACAATAACCAAGGTACATCTGACTCACATGGTCAGTATGGCCATTTGTGGGTGCTTGCAGCTGTGCAAGCATGTCATGCATCAGATCACACACAGCTTAATCCTTGTGCTGAGCTTACAGCATATCTAAGAAGTCCTCTTGAGCAGACTGAAGATGTTGTAGGTTGGTGGGGGTGAGTTTTTATACTGTCACAACTCACAAGTGCATGAGTTGATTAACTAAAATTTATACAGCACCACCAATCTCAATACCCAACACTTTTGCACATGGCCAGGGACTACTTGCCCATACAAGGCTCTTCTACTCCATCAGAATGTGCCTTTTCAAGTGGCGGGTTGACAGGAACCAAGTGATGGAATCATCTCAAAACAGATATCTTTGAGAGCCTACAGCTGTTGAAGAGTGCATACTGCAATGGTCACCTTTCCGCAGCTAGTGATGCTGAGCAGCACTTGGACGCATTGATCACTGCTCTCCTCCACAATGATGCAGATGATGAAGATGGCAAGTAGTTATGACTCTTCTCATGTTAGTATTTAGCACTACTCTACACCAACAATTTTTTTGTGGTATATGTTTGGATGGTCCAGTTCACAGTTCAGACCCTTGCTAAACCAGAACTGAACCATTGTCAGACCGAACCAATGGTCCAGTCTGTGGTTCTGCTTTTGAGGAGAACTGAACCTATGGTCTGGTTCTTGGTTCTCAGAATTTACCAGAGAACCAGACCAAACTGGACCCGTCCATCACTAGCACACTCCTGACATATTTCTATCTGAACTACAAAGTGCTCTATGGGAGGTGAGGGATATTGAATATTGAGGTGTCTCTTGCCACCATCAAATGAACACTACATAGGCATGGATTGACTCACAAGCATGTATGTAAAATATATTTGTGCAATGGATCAACATTGTCAGATGATCCAAAAACCATTGTTTTCGATGGTGACAAAGAGACAATGATCTCGCTAGAATGCCAGGGTTGCAGAAACTAAGTGGAGCCTATTTGATGATGAGCAAAACTTACCTTTGACAATGTTGCAGTGTCTTTCACAGTGAGGGCTTCATTTTCTTGACAAGGTCACCTGCAGTTGGTAATAACCATGGTGCACCATGTGCGGCTGGTCGCAGGTCAGTGCATGTGGTATGATTCCAGGGTCTTGTCACTGCCCTGCAGTGCCACACAAGCCCCACAAGTCCAAGTTACATTAAAGATTCATAAAAGTAGCTAGTGTGCACCATGGCCTCTGTTTGGTGTCGCTCCAACAACACACAAAAGCAGCTAAATGAGTTTTCCAGATTCTGGTCTATCGATATGAAAATAGCTGTAATTATCGAATCTTTTGTAAATATAAATGACCAGACTTCGAGAATACCAGGGTGAATGATTGCCATCATCTAGACATCGCAAGATGGTAATGCCGTACAGTGTGCATACATGTAAAGACTCTGCATCTGGTGTGCGCCATACAAACATGGATGTTGAATATATTGTGAATAGTCGGTGTGGGGAATTCCCCCACTGTAGGTGTAAAACCCTGTCCTTTCCGCATCATCTCACATCAGTTCCGCGTATTCCGCATGTTCCGCGTTTCCTGCACATCGTCTGATGGGTTCCGCATTCCCGTGCATCCTTTGAAACCCACCCGCACTATCCGATATTCCCGCGCATCGTTGGACAACCTTCGCATGTCCTGTCCCCATCCTTCCAGGTCTATTGGTACGCTGTATCTCTCTTCCCATTGTTCCTAATGTTATCTGGATGAAATTGACATAAGCCCTTATGGCACAGACCCCTATTCCGGAGTATTGCACCCATGTGCACTGCCTGCCTTCACTTCCGCTTCCTGAGAAACTTACTACCTGTACCTCAGTGTTCCTTGAAAATAATATTCCCTTTAGGTAGTGGTATTCAGGGTTTGGGTGATTATTATCGAATCCCATCTTTTACCTTCCCACTTTCCCTTCACCTTACTAGAGGACCACTTTGACTTATGCCCACTATCAATCTAACCTCGTGATATACTTCCTTCGACTTCGCCTGCAAGTTCCGACGAATCAGTACGTTCCGCACTTTATTCATTTGAGTTCCGTTTCATTCCTTTCCATTCTGCTTGAGTTCCACTTGGGTTCTGCTTGTTCCACATTTTTGCGGATCCTCATCCTACTTGCAGTAGGGTTGATTAGGGTCGTTTAGACAGAGATTAGCACTCCCCAGTAGCAATCCCCTTTAGGGTCGAACATGCTTGTTCTCAAGTGAGGCAGTAGGCAGCAAAGACCCAACTTTGTAGTAGATCAATTTCTCTCCGCTGCACTTGTTGTACCCACATTGGTTACAGCTGTTTGCAAAACTAATGTCAATCACAAAATTTTTGCCACCTCCTTGACCAAAAAGGAAGTTGATATAACAACGCGTCCTGGACGCTCATGGTAGGCTTCCTGCAACTTGCACACATTTTTCAGGTGCTTTTATCCCTTACTACTACCTTTATTACATGTCATACCAACCAAGTTTACAATGATTAGGACGCCTGAAAGTTAAATAGTGTCAGACTCCTGTGAGATAATAGGAAGTAGGAGGCACGCTGGCATGATGCACCTTCACCTAAAATTCTCAAGATGATATCAGAGGTGTAATGGTTTGTGGTGATCATTGGTACCATTATGGGTCAGAACATGGTTCAGTACACAGGTACCCATCGTGAACAACAGGTCTGACTGATAGAAGATGGTTCTCATGTGAATTTACGATATGGACAGGAGTGGTTAGTGTGATGGACCATACCATGATGTAGATTTCCCTCCAGTTCCCATATATCCAGCTCATTCCTTTGGGGCCTAGTAATGCGATGATATATTGCGCCAGACACATTCTGCTAGCTTGGAAGATCTTAGGATCATGTGAGGAAAGATCAATTATATTTCCTGTAAGATAGGTTCTCATTGCCATGAAGTTCTGCCAGAGCAATATTCAGCACATAAAAGCAAAGTGCCTTCCTACCGCCCCTTTCACATGTATTCAATCCCATATCACATCCTTACAGACAGTGTGTTGCTCCTTTGTCCTCACCATTTTTGCTGCTTTGACAGTGTCAATATCTGCCAGTCCTTTTGACAGCAGCAAAAAAAAATTGTCCCACATATTGCACCCATTGAAACTGCTGCGCTGGATAGCAGCAGCTGAAATTATCAATGACGTGATCACTGTGAGTATGAGTAGCTTGCATCTTAGATTTAACCACATGACTCACTGGCGTGGTAGGTCGTCGGGGCATATATGTATGACGGAGTGGTATGTGGTGACAGTGAACTACAGTGAGTCATGTTTCTACTTTCACATTGGTGCAGTTTGGTTGATGGTGTTACTAGTAGTGGTTTCTTCGATCAATGGAGATCTTGGAATAGTGGAAATCCAGAACACCTGAATGCATAGCATGACTGAAGAACTTACGACGGAGTTTCATAGTCTCATTGTAAGCTTGAACATAGAAGCGCAATCCCATGAGATGCTAATATATATGGAAATTTGACATTGTCGAATTGCAAGGGCTCGGAATTCAGAAGCGGCACTTGTGGGAATAGGTCATGACTCGGAAATTTGATGCAAGTTATAGAGGATGACTCAATGTCCTCGAGAGCATCTAAGCGTGAAAAAGTGGATAGATATAGTGGAGACTTACCCCGACACCTGCTCCATCAGGAAAAACCTCCCCTGTGTATTACCCGGAAATTACGCGAAAATTGTGTGGATTACTATGTTTTACCAGGTTTTATCACAATATCTCACATTACTGACATTTACATAGTAAACCGCAGTCCCCCATCGACACTGTCACAGTAAAGTGGAGGAAAACACAAAAAAACACACAAAAAAACATGAAATGTTTGTAGCATCCATGCTGCACCATTCACGACGATTGAATATCACACCAATGTAAACAAAAAAACATTGTATTGTCATCCAGACTCAATATATGATATGGTAATGATTGTAGAGAAATGTGCGGCCAGTCAACGAGTGTATCAGAGGTAGCAGAAAAATCCCACTAGAACATGAAGAACAGATTAGCGGTACTAGTAGAAGTAATAGTAGATAGGAAGAAACTGGTGAATTAAATAAACCTAATCAGACTCACTGCCCATGTTTTCCCAGTCAACCTGCGCAATAATTTGCTCTTTCAAAAATTGGGCAGACCCAACACTGTGCATGCCACTATAACAGAAAGAGATTAGTTGGGAATTGGAACAAAAGATCCAAAAAATGCATACATGACAGCACGATAGATGCCATGAGTTAGCTTGTGATACTCAAGTGGCTTCTTCTGCTTCATAGTGAGGAGGAGGAGTATGTGTGCTTTGAATGTGTTGTTGTGACTCGGGCCAACAAATTTGCTGCTCTTTCCGATGTTAAAGTCCAGGATACAAGCTTCAACCTAAGATTTTACACGTCAGCCAAGGCAGTAACAAATAATGAACTTTAAAAACTGCGGTAGCAACACTGGCTATCATGTGGTTGACAACCTCCAACTCATTGGGAGCTGTGGAGAGCGAAGACAAAAGTAAGTAAGAAAATTTGATGCCAAGATCATTGTATTGGTTGGCAACAAAGAAGCTGGCTTGAACGCCCTCTTTGATCACTTCGGCCTGGAATGGCTTCAAGGTTTCATACTTGTTTTTCTGAAAGAAATAAATTATTCGAGGTTGTGCAGACACCACACATGCACACTGTACCTTGGCCGACTAAGGGTAGATATAGTTGATGTCTTCTAAGAGCGATGAGTTCTGAGCTGTGGAATTTGTCGCAAGATTGAGAACACTTGTGACAACTACACCAACCGCCTTCTTAAACTGATTGCAGCAGAGGTGAATGTGGCATGTAGTCTGAAGTGCAGTCATGAATCTAAAAAAATACAACTATACACTGACAGAACTCACATAATCTATGAGCGGCTTGGCATACTGAGCCCATGAGTCACTAAGAAGGCATTCAGCCATGTCATTGTCCCCAGTATAACCTTCATGATCAGCTGACTCAATGAGAGCTTCATAGGCCAGTGTCTCAGTACTGCAAGTTGTGAATGCAGTGGTCATCGCAAAGACATTGTCAATGGTGATGTCATATACCTGATCCGACCGCTCTAATATCAATATCCACTCCGCTCCACCCATCCTCCGCTCTGTCCAATCATCGTCTGCATCCGCTCCTACATTTCCGCTCAACCGCTCAACCAATCCCCTTCCATAACCTCTCCATTCAACTGGACCTCTTTCCCCTTTTAGATATATACTTTCCCCTTCAGTACATAGACCCTTACTTCCGGATCACCGGTAATTCCTATTACCGCCCGATCACTTATCTGACGCATACATATTGATATCTGCTCCGACTTATGTCTTCGCCTGTGTAAAGTACTTACAAACTATATCCTTGGTACATAGCTTTACAACATAGTTATCCTGATCACTGCCTCATACTTAGAAGTATATAACATATCATGTACTTAGATATTTTTCCTCAGTCTTAATATTACTTGTCTTCTTGCAGTTACCTCTTGTGAGAATTCTCAGTAGGACCTTGCCTCCTCTGGACACAAGTCTCAACTTGTTGTCACCTCCGACCCTCCGACCCTCCGACCCTCCGCTCCGACTTAGAGCCGTGCTCTAAGTGTCCCTCTTGTTCCTCCGCCCCTATCAATATTTCCCTTATCCCTTTTCCCAGCCTCCGCATTATCCTCTGCCTTCTCCACTCCTACCAAACCTTCCTCCTCCTACTATCCACCCTCCACATCACTCCCCACCTTCTCCACTCCACTCCTCATCGGCTCGCCGCTAGTAGCTCTTACTTCCTGACCCTCAAAGTGGACCTAAGCGGTTCACTCGTCCTATCGTCGGACCCGCTCCAAATTCAGGGCATGTACTCGGCTAAGGGCACAGCACAAGAGCTGAAGCCAAGCCCCAACCCCTCTGCCTCCTGAGCTGGCACGGTACCTAACAGGTGAGATCAACATCATCCTCCAGGCCGAATGCAAACATGTGTTGTCCTCATTCATAGCTTCCACGAACAACCTTGCAGACCTTCTCTGACTGCAGTTTGATGGAGATAAATGGAGCATTCCCGCTAACGGTCACTCGTAGATCTGTGTCTGTCAACCACACACTGGTAGTTCCATCAAGGCTTGCAGTATCTGAGGCACCTGAATTGACTGCAAGCACAGTAAGAGGCTTCTACTCTGTGTCATCAGCGAAGTGTGGCATCTAGTAGACAACAAAAAAGTGAGTGCAACTGTCAGTGAGCTTTGGATAGCTGACCTCATCCTGGAGTTTCTTCTCTCGTGTAGTACTCTTTGACTTGTGCTGCCAGTAAATATGTCAAGTGTATATCCCAAGTGTAAGTCACACATACCTGCTTTGCTTTCTTGAGCCTCATTGAGTCTTGTTCGTCCTCTAACTCATTGTCAAGTGCCACATTGACTTGATTTGTTGTATTCTTCTGGGTCCATTGCACTCCCTGTCCAGGACACCAGGTTAGTGATCTAAGCCCATGCTACCAGTGATATTTCTCACGAACTTCTTCACCGAAATTTTCAACAGCAAGATCTGCAAATTCTTCATCCTCATCATCATCAACATCATCATCATCTAGGCTATCTTGTTCATCACGGTCTTCACCATCTTCATCTAAGTCTCTAAGATCTGATTCAGTAGTACCATCCTTGACCTTGGGATTGCTGCACTTGTTACCAGAGACTCAAAGTGGATTTGGTGCGAAATAAGTCCTGCCTATCCATTTTGAGTTGTTATTGTGTTGTGGGATTACTGATTGGGCTCACTAAGCTTAGGCATTAACTTGACCTTCTTGACTTCACACTGATGCAGTGCCTCTGATGGTTGAACTTTGCTCGCATTTGATGCTTTCCGGACTATGTTCAAACTTGAAGGTAAACAGAATTACAGCTCTAAGTTCTGCTCTGACCTTCTACCACACTATTAGCGTGTTTGTGTTTGCCCTTTGGCAATGATGCTGGTGCTTGTACTGTGCTGGTTGGTTCTTGTACTATGTTGGCTGGCTCTTTTCTAACTTGTTTGTGTTTTATAGGGCGATCTGGGAACATTTGAGTATATATCTTGTTGCCGCTAGTATAAATTGGTACTGACCGGGTCTTGTTAGCACCACAGTTTTGGCCGCACAAGCTGCTGTTAATTTTTTTTATCAGTGTTAATCATAAAAGGTATACATCATATGCCCTCACGTTGTCCTGTACTGGGCTCATCTAACTCCATATTATCAGCTGTATCTGCAACAGAGACATTTTGAAGTTGGGCTTGCATTCTGGCCTTGTGGGTTTCCCTCAACTGTGCGGCAGCAGCTTTTGACTGTCGTGCAGCCATATTGGTTCAAGTGAATGTTGACGGAGGTGGGGGTGGGCGGGTCCAAGTGAATGTCAATGGAGGTGGGCTCCAAGTAAACAGAGGTGGGGGTGGGCAGGTCCAAGTGAACGTTGATGGAGGTGGGCATGGGTGTTACAAGAATAAAGGCAAAAATGCGACAGGCTAGTTGGCAAGTTCAAGAACCGTCCAGGGTTTGTGGTTTGTTGAACCTTGTGGGTCTGTTGAACCTTGTTGGCCATAACGTTTCCTCAGCCTTTTTCCTTTTCAGTTGGCCTTTTCCTCTGTACACTATTTCTTAGTGCAACCACTATGGTGTTTCAATGTGCAGGCTGCCATGAATATTTCCCTCGAAGAGGATCCTATCTTCAACACCTCCACAAGTCCTCTGATCCGCACTGTCAACATGAGCGTGATAGCCTCAATAGTTTGGTACATCGAACCATATGCAGAAATGCACCCCGTGGCCATACTAGGTCCACACGGACCACACCTGACTCAGATGTCATATCAGATCCTCAGCCATTTGGTGGAGATTATTTTGGTGACAACTACAGAGAAGAAGATTTTCCCTTCATAAATGATGAAGAACCGGTTCATGTTGATGTTCACCATCATGCAAGTGTGGCGGAGGAAGATGAGAACGTCCTGGAGAGTGACAATGAGGATATTTCAGGTGTCAATCGGGAGCCACTATGAGATGCAGTGTCACTGACTTCAGATTCTCCTCTGGTCACTATTGAATATTTTGGAGGTGAAGCTGGGGCTCCGTTGGACGATATACCTCAACTGAAGAGATCTGAGTACACAAATTACTCAGCTGCTGTGGAGGGAAGCACAGAAAATCCCTGGGCTCCATTTAATTCTCAGATGGACTGGGAAGTTGCACACTGGGCAAAAGTATGAGGTCTGGGATCAACCACATTCACCGATCTCCTAGCAATCAAAGGTGTATGTATAATAAATTTATTTAGCATTTTGACATGGAAGCTCATGTCTGACATTATATCAGGTCCACGAAGCACTTGGTCTGTCTTACAAGAACTCAGTTGAACTCAACAAGATTATCAATACCAAAATTCCATCATGTCTGTCATATACCTGATCCGACCGCCCTAATATCAATATCCACTCCGCTTTCCAACCCCCTCCGCTCCATTCATCCTCCGCTCCGCCCGATCATCGTTTGTATCTGCTCTGCTCGACCGCTCAACCGGTCCCCTCCCATAACATCTCCATTCAACTGGACCTCTTTCCCCTTTTAGATATATGCTTTCCTTTTTAGTACATAGACCCTTACTTCCGGATCACCGGTAATTCCTATTACCGCTCAATCACTGATCCAACGCGTACATATTGATATCCGCCCCGACTTATGTCTTTCCTATGTAAAGTACTTACAAATGATATCCTTGGTACATAGCTTTACTACATAGTTATCCTGGTCACTGCCTCATACATAGAAGTATATAACATATCATGTACTTGGATATTTTTCCTCAGTCTTAATATTACTTGTCTTCTCGCAGTTACACCTTGTGAGAATTCTCAGTAGGACCTTGCCTCCTCTGGACACAAGTCTCAACTTGTCGTCACCTCCGACCCTCCGATCCCCCACTCCGACTTAGAGCCGAGCTCTAAGTCTTTTCCACATACTCCGCCCCTATCCAATATTCTCCCTTGTCCCTCTGCATCATCCTCCGCCTTCTCCACCTCTGCCAAACATTCCCTCTGCTCCTATCCACCCTCCACATCAACCCCCATCTTCTCCGCTCCGCTCCTAGTCGGCCCGCTGCTAGCAGCTCTTATTTCCCGACCCTCAAAGCGGACCAAAGCGGTCCATTTGTCCTATCGTTGGACAACGTCGGACCCGCTCCAAATTTGGGGCACATACTTGGCTAAGGGCACAGCGCAAGAGCTGAAGCCAAGCCCCGACCCCCCTGCCTCTTGAGCCGGCATGGTGCCTAACAGCTCCGCTTTCTGACCACCTCCACTCCATGCACTTCTCCACTCCGTCCAATCATCGTCCGCATCCGCCCCTACGCTTCCACTCAACCGCCCAACCAGTCCCCTTCCATAATGTCTCCATTCAACTGGAACCTCTTTCCCCTTTTAGATATATACTTTCCCTTTTGGTGCATAGACCCTTACTCCCGGATCACCGGTAATTCCTCTTACCGCTCGATCACTGATCCGACGTGTACATATTGATATCCGCTCCGACTTATGTCTTCACCTGTGTAAGTACTTACAAATTATATCCTTGGTACATAGCTTTACAACATAGTTATCCTGATCACTGCCTCATACTTAGAAGTATATAACATATCCTGTACTTAGATATTTTCCCCCAGTCTTAATATTACTTGTCTTCTTGCAGTTTCTACTTGTGAGAATTCTCAGTAGGACCTTGCCTCCTCTGGACACAAGTTTCATCTTGTTGTCACCTCCGACCCTCTGCTCCGACTTAGAGCCGTGCTCTAAGTCTTCCCCTTACTTCTCTGCTCCTATCAAGTATTCCCCCTGCTCCTTTCCCCCTTCCGCATCATCCTCCGCCATCTCCACTCTGCTCCTAGTCGGCCCACTGCTAGTAGCACTTACCTCCCGACCCTCAAAGTGGACCTAAGCAGTCCACTCGTCCTATCGTCAGACAATGTTGGACCTGCTCCAAATTCGGGGCACGTACTCAGCTAAGGGCGCAGCGCAAGAGCTGAAGCCAAGCCCTGACCCCTCTGCTTCCTGAGCCGGCACGGTACCTAACAATGTCGACCTGCTTTCACTCATCAGGAAGCCTGCATAGTTGGTGAAATGTGTGACCTATTCTCACGAGATATACTGGAATGTGTTCGAGCTCTGTATGGTGACCCCGAGCATGCACAATACCTGTCTTTCGCACCAGAAAGACATTACGTGGATGCAGGCAAGACTCAATGTCTGTATCATGACATGTGTACAGGTGAATGGTGGTGGGCGACCCAAGTACATGTTCTATGTCTATCGTACTCAGTTGCTGGCTCATGTTTAACCATAGGAAGTCTTGGAACAATCAAAACCAGGGGCCACAATAATTCCCATCATCATCTCATCCGACAAGACACAGATCACTCTGTTCCGAAATAAAACTGCTTATCCTGTTTATCTTACGATTGGCAATTTACCAAAGTGCATCCAATGCAAACCCTCCTGCCGAGGTCAAATTCTCCTTGCATATCTGCCAACAATGCATCTCACGCAAATTGCCAACAAAGCATCACAGTGTTGTACCTTGGCCAATCTCTTCCATGCGTGCATGTCATGCATTGTGGCGCCATTGAAGTCAGCCAGAGTGGATGGCATTGTAATGATGAGTGGGGACAGCATCATGCGACGCTGTCATCCAATCTTTGTGGCCTTTATTGGGGATTACCCCGAGCAGTGTCTCATCACTGGGACAATGAACGAAGACTGTCCCATCTGCACTTGTCCCCGCAATGAGCTTGGCAAACACCCCTCTCAACATGAACTACGCAATCTTAATGCAATTTTGGATGCACTCAAACTTCATGGATCCCCACAATATACCCAAGCCTGTAATGGCGTTAGAATTAAACCACTTCAGCATCCGTTCTGGGAAGATCTTCTGTACCTCAATATCTTCCAATCTATAATGCCCAACATTTTGCATCAACTTTACCAAGGGATAATGAAGCATATGATCAGCTGGGTTACTGAGGTTGTTGGGGCTGCAGAGACAGATTTGCGAGTTTGCCGCCTTCCACCCAATCATTCTATGCATGCTTTCCAGAAAGGGATCACAACATTGAGCCGAGTCAGTGGTACAGAGCACAAGCAGATGTCACGCTTCTTACTTGGCCTCGTCATTGATGTGCGGCTGCCAGGAAATGCATCTCTGGCAAGACTAGTGCATGCAACTCGATCCCTTCTAGATTTCCTTTACCTTGCTCAGTTCCCTGTTCACTCCGATTCATCAATTGATGCACTTGAAACAGTGGTGGATGAATTCCATGCAAATAAAGGTGTCTTTGAAGACCTTGGCATTTGCAACAACTTCAATATACCGAAGCTCCACTTTCTTCAGCACTATGCTGAATTAATCAAATTGTTCGGCACAATGGATAACTTCAACACGGAGGCCACTGAGAGGCTTCATATCGACTTCGCAAAAGATGCTTACACTGCCACCAATCACAAAGACGAATTTTGGCAGATGACGAAGTGGCTTGAACACAAGGAGAAGGTCTTGCAGCACGCAAATTTTGTTGTATGGTGCCACAATTAGAGCACGACCGACACAGAAAATGACATTTGGGTTTCTCCTGCTGAACACTGGCAACCTCCAGATCTCACATGCCTCTTTCACATCAAGATGACTCGTCACCCATCATGCAAGTTGGTTCCATTCCGAGAAATCACTTCTTTATCTTCACATGGTGCCACTCATTTTATTCCGGCGTTGGCGAGATTTATTGTCCAATATAATCACCTGGGACTGTCCTTCCAATAAATTGAGGATCATGCAGTGAACATTCATCTGCCCTGTGACTCTGTACCTGTCTTCCACTGAATCAAATTCTGGAACGATGAGATACACGCGACCGAAACTCTCGACTCCATACATGCTCAGCCAGCAGTGAAGAACAGCAAAGGTCGCGCCGTCAAAGCCGCTTGCTTTGATACATGCCTTATACAGGTGCGCAATCCTGACACGCTTCCCAAATCTATACAAGGTGACACCTTTTCAAGTCCACTGGATCCTCTGTTGATATAAAATAATTTTTAGATTTACATGTCACGCAGGTTCGCGCAGTCTTCACTTTGCCACAAACAGTATTAAAATGGTATTTCGACCCTCAGAACCCTCCACCTCAGCATCTCGCCTATATCGAATGGTTTTCAGCCTTCAGTGCTTTACCAGATCCACAGTCTGGGTTGTATAAGGTCAGGCGGGTGGTTCACAATGGCGAACACCAAGTGTCAATTGTGCCCGTATCTTTAATTTGTCGAAGTGCTCACTTATTGCCTGAGTGGGGAGGAGCTGTTCCTGGAGAGTGGACGAGTTAGATGTTCTTGATGCATGCCCCTCATTTCTTTTGAACATTTTCAAAGACATGTACACTTACTTCAATGTAGGATGGGACACACATCGTGAAAATGTAGTTTTACATGGTAATAACTGAAAAAACTGAGTAAAGTCGAGCAAAACAATGTAAAGTCGAGTAAAGTTGAGTAAAACAATGTAATATTGTGGATATATAGGTAATTCCCAGGGGAGGTTTTTCCTGATGTCCGATCGAGACAGAATGGAGAGAGGAGATTCAAAGTCATTTTTGCAAGTCGCTTGGGGTTACTTGTGGGTTATGACAACATTCCATGGGTGCATCTCACGCAAATCTGCATATTTGCGTGAAGTCGAGGGATGTATCTCGCGCAAATTTGATTCCAAGCAAGTACTTGGACGAATGCTGACGAACGTCGCGGCAGTTGCCGTACATCTTTTTCAAGGTCCTCCAGGCTCCATCCAACACGTTGGATGGACCACTCGCGGCATTAACTGTTTCGTCAATGGTCAAATATTCTACTATCCCTCCGCTTACACTTCGTCATATGGGAACACCCCCGGTCCTCCCCGCGCAAGGTCAGATTCACCAGCTGCACTCTAGCACTCCTCCCACTAGGTCATTTCACTCAATGTCCTCTCGAATCACCTTCAACTCAAGCCCCACCATACCGCATAGCACCAGGCCTTCCACTCTCCCTCCGGCCGATCCTCTCCGACCTCCTCCATCTCCTTCTACTCACACCACCTTCGAATTCTCCTACCCTTCTTCTTTCGGTCCTCACGCCGTCCACTAACTTTTTTGTTCGTCATAACACTCCTCCGTAACATCAACGTCGCCCTACTAGCATTCCTGCTGGCCCCCTTCTCACGTCGTCAACTCTTCTTCTATAATAATATCTTTTGTTGTTGTTTTATAAATATTATTTTACCTGTTCCTTTTAACTGTGGTCATCCCAAATGTTGAGGGCGAGCAACGTCACTGTCCCCTCTCGCAGATTTGTCTGCTCGTCGAAAATCCCATGAGTAGTAAACATCTTTAATATTGCTACTCTCGTATTTTCAGTTCCCTTCGGGCGGACCAAGTGACCTGGTCACACCCAGTCTTTTTCAGCGCACATTCAAAGTCCCTCCTCGCATGCTGCCGCACTATGAACTGCGATCGCAATCCGCGCAGTGAAATGCCCCTCCATACACCATACCGCCACCGTCAGGGCATCCAAATATGTCCTATCAGACCCAGATCCCAGGCCACCTCATCATGTTCACTCGCCACGGCCTGAATTATATGACCCTTCAAGCCCCCCATTGGTAAGTTATTCAAGAATCCTCACTTGGATTTGGGAAACTTGCTGCCAAAATAGTCTTCGACGACACGTACATATGGTGAGCAGCTGAGTCTATGAACCACCAACTGTACCTTGACCGTACGGCATATATTCAGTTCCTCGTGAGTTACCTTTACTTTTGAGTTTACTTATCGTTCTTCAGAGACCTAGTCCATGTATGTGCCTACAAACGAACCCCAAGTCACGACATTGCTGACCGACTCTCCCGTGCTATCAATTGGTCTTATGTGCACCACCGGGCAATCTCTTCAGCTTTTCCTCGCTCACTTTCGCATCTCATATCACTCTCTACACTCAATTATGTGTCGTCACTACACCCGGACGACCTCGTCATCAATAGTACTATCACAAGCGCATAACGATCCTTATCCACAACGAGTTACATAGGCTTCCCTCCCACCTCGAGCTCAAGTGTTATGACCAAGTCACAACCAGCACCATGGCGTCCCACCGCATCTCCACAGTCGATGACATCAATCTCCAATAATGATCAACGGCCCCTCATCTCGATCAGGATCTGCGCACCGCGGTATTCTACATCATTAACTTGTCATTAATGCACATACTCGAGTTATTGATGATCATCTCAGCGGTAGTACATAAGATAGGCGGCGCCATGAATATAGATGTCTTCTGAATCGTATTCTTGTCTGGTATATATATCATGGTCGCTGTCGACTTCTAGATCCAGTAACAAGAACAACGACATGACTCTGAACTAATAAGTAGTGGGTCAGATATCGCACCACTGTACCTGCAGAAGCGGATAATCGGTAAGTATGTACTACACCAAAGCCTCGCTTGTACTGGAATTGAGATACACCGCCGTTCGTGATAAACGCCCATTTCCGAGTACCACAGTTGCTGCATCCGCGCTCAACAACGTCCCGCTCATATCAGATTGGCCTGTAGAATTGACCTGTGAGAACTCTGCGCGGGTTGAGAAAAGCTAGCTGGAGGGTGAAATCGTACTAAGTAGACAGAACCATTGAGAAAACTCGCATTGCAATTGGACCACTTGAGATGTACATCAAGCGGTTAATTAAGATAGTCAACAGGGCTCGCCGCCATCTCGGGATGTCGGGTGACCGACATACATACACATCGCATGAAGAAGTTACATATTGCGTGATGATACAACCATTTGGTACAGTGCCGCACTCTCGAACCACCCAACAGACCTCGCGAAACCTGGATTCGCCACAACACACTTTCGGCTCAATTCCGAACACCATCAACATGGCGCTACATTTCCTAGCATCAAGATCTTGCTGAAGTTAAAGAAATCAGTGGAACTGCCACAATCATAAGAATTGAAACATACGTAGACGATGCTGCAAAGTGACTTCAAGAATCGGTTTGGCCAACTCCGCCGTCTTCTGAGAGCTTTCAATAGACGAGTTTGCTTGGTATGCACGGACGGCAGTGCCCACAGCGTCCCTGACGGCAGCTGCATGCGGAGATTTCATGTACTGATTGACAGCAACACGAACGCAGTCTTTGGACCCCTCGCAGTCCTTGAGAGAACGTCGCTGGTCCCAGACGTGGAAAGAGTGTTCGAGAATGATAACAGTAGCTAGTCGATCAATGATCAGTGGCCTCGTTTCAATCTCGCCTAAAGATTCACCAGAACAGAGCTGCACAATTTGCTCTAATGTTGATGAGCCAGAGGCCTAGCGCAAGGTCAATATGAGAATTGTGGGGAAAGTATGTAACTGATGGGACATGCCAGAGAGTTTAGGCTAGGCTGCATCTGCGTGTATACAGGATGGGTATCCTAGCAAAATAATGATGACATAGTCTATGTGAGCAGAGGGTCAGCACACTCACGAACTGTGAATGGATGGGGAATGGCTTCGGTCAGCAAGGGTCGAGCACCACAGAGGATCAGCACACTCACGACCTGTGAATGGATGGTGAATGGCTTCGGTCAGCAAGGGTCGAGCACCACAGAGGATCAGCACACTCACGACCTGTGAATGGATGGTGAATGGCTTCGGTCAGCAAGGGTCGAGCACCACAGAGGATCAGCACACTCACCCACTGTGAATGGATGGTGAATGGCTTCGGTCAGCAAGGGTCGAGCACCACAGAGGATCAGCACACTCACGCCCTGTGAATGGATGGGGAATGGCTTCGGTCAGCAAGGGTCGAGCACCACAGAGGATCAGCACACTCACGTCCTGTGAATGGATGGTGAATGGCTTAGGTCAGCAAGGGTCGAGCACCACAGAGGATCAGCACACTCACCCACTGTGAATGGATGGGGAATGGCTTCGGTCAGCAAGGGTCGAGCACCACAGAGGATCAGCACACTCACGACCTGTGAATGGATGGTGAATGGCTTCGGTCAGCAAGGGTCGAGCACCACAGAGGATCAGCACACTCACGACCTGTGAATGGATGGTGAATGGCTTCTGTCAGCAAGGGTCGAGCACCACAGAGGATCAGCACACTCACGTCCTGTGAATGGATGGTGAATGGCTTCTGTCAGCAAGGGTCGAGCACCACAGAGGACCAGCACACTCACCCACTGTGAATGGATGGGGAATGGCTTCGGTCAGCAAGGGTCGAGCACCACAGAGGATCACAACACTCACGACCTGTCAAACAATTAGGAATCTCATTGGTGAGCAGGACTCAACATATCCGGTGTTCAGATGCTCACATCCTGTCAACAGAGTCAGCAAGGGTCGAGGTTGATGGTGGATTGAAACACTGACAAGCTACCGAATCATGGCCAATTTCATTGGTGAGCAAGGGTCAAGGTCAACAAAGGATTAACACGCTCACATCCTATGAATGGGTCAGAAAGTGCATTTGAGAGCAAAGCTTAATGTTGAAGGAAGACGAATACACTTACGGTCTGTCAACAGATTCGCCAATGGCCGTTTATTCTGTCAGCGTTCGGACAGAGGGCCAATACACTCACTCGCTGTCAAAGACCAGTCATTTCATTCATGAGTAAAGTTCTAGGTCGATGAGGGATGACCACACTCACAACCTGTCAACAGATCGGCAAACTCTTCGGTCAGCAAGGCTTGAGTTCGATGGACGATCGACACACTTACAGCCTGTCAACAGGGCAGAGCCATCGGTGAGCAAGGCTTAACATCGACGGAGGATGAACACACTCACATCCTGATAATAGATCAACAACGAATTCTGTCAGTTCAGCTCGAGCTCGATAGAGGATGCAGACTCACAACCTGTCGACAGATTGGAAACCACTACGGTCAAGAAGGCTCGAGCTTGGTGCAGGACGGACACACTCACAACCTGTTGACGGATCAGCAACACCATCGGTGAGGAAGGCTCGAGCTCGATGGACACTCACTTGCTGTGAACGGATGTGTGATGTCATGTGTGAGTAAGGTCGTCGTTGATCGAGGATCAATGGACTCACGTTCTGTCAGTGGTTGGGTGTCTTTGGTCAGAAAGGTTCCAGTGGACGGATAATTAACACACTCACTCGCTGTCAGTGGATACGAAATTTGATTGTGAGCAAGCCTCGATATTGAGGGAGGATCAGCGCACTCACATTCTGCCAATGGATGAGCAATGTCGCTAGTGAGTAAGCCTCAAGCTTTACGGAGCAAGAACAAACTAACATACTATGAACAGACCGGCAATGTGTTCGGTTAGCAAGGATTGAGCTTCACGCATGATCAGCACACTCACAGCCTATCAATAGGTCGGCAAGTCTCATCGGTGAGCGACGCTCGATGTTAGTAGACGAAGAACACACTCACCCACTGTCAAAAGATCGGCAATTTCTTTGGTCAACGAGGTTGTAGTTTGACGGCGGATAACGACTCACAAACTGTCATCGGGGATCGGCGATTTCATCAGTCAGCAATGCTCGAGCTCGGTGGAGGATCAATGTGCTCACTCCCTGTCAATTCATCATCAATGTCTTCAGATGACGCGCCAGAGAGTATAAATAGACATACTATCTGCAAGCAACCGCCCAACATGAATGAGAGCAATTTTTGGATATTACAAGAATCTCTCACATAAATGTGTGGAAACCAGGCACACAACTTCCTTATTTCATTTACATGACCCGCAGAAATGCGAGATCGGTTTGTTTGAGCAGATTCGACAAATTCCGCGAGTGTTCTGCAAATTTTGGTCGTTAATACTCGCCACATGTAAATGAGAACCTAGGTAGCTACGCTTCGACTGCATATTTCATGCAGAGCTCCAAGTTGGTCTGCTGAGTTGAGACGAACAACTGCTGAAGCACTGTATTGTCTAGAGTTTCAGCCGTCCGTTCGAGGAGCGGTCCGCAGTCTGCGTCATCCTTGTCCATGTCTGATGTCGCGTGTAGATCACGAATCATCATAAATCATAAATCGATAATTAAGCGGCTTACTCGGGAGGCATACATGGCATTTTGGAGGCCGTCCAATGTCGTTGGGGTTGTATAGAAACTTCAATTGCGAGCCGTTCGCAAATGACTCTTCAGCCCGCTTCGGGGCTAGTTCCTTAGCATCTTTCCTGGATGCTCCATCCCTTTTCAGCTGGGCGAATTCGATGGTGTGGAGGGCATCAAATTTGGTAAACAATACTATCACCGGAACTAGGATAATTGCGAATCAGTTGATCATCAAGCTAAGGATGGTCAGATGTGAAAGCTTACTGCTTCCGGTGTCACAGTGAGAGAAAAATTTGATTTCCCCTTCAGTGAAAGACCGGCATGCCTCATTCATCGGTATGCAGTACCTATGTCAATAAGTGAGCCAGCGCACGTCTTGAATTTTATCAATTACAATTACCAGATGACATGGAGTCGATCCTTCAAACTAGTTCTCTTGGAACGGTCTGCGATAAATGCCTTCACCGTGTTGAATTCGGATTGCCCACCGGCTTCAAAGCCGCGCGAATCGTGAAAGACGAATCTTGGGTTGCTTCGAAATACCATTTCATTCTCGATATCGTGCTCTCCGCGCTAAGAACGCATTAGGTCATTTTATCACCTGATAAGAGTACATGTTACTTCTCTGGATGCCACCACAACGGCGGGATCGATCTAATCGAGATGAGTAATCATAACTAGCGTCTTACTACGAGTATCATTATGCCCACCTTTTCCCCAGCGCTATTATATATTTCTGGGTTCTCCCGTGTGTTACAAACCCTCTGGAGTATGGTGGTCTTTCCTGCATTTGCCCTTCCTATTATGAGGATTCGGAAGCGTCCACATTTCTCTTTTATCGTTGAGGGATCCATGGAGGGAGGTGAAGCAGCGCTCTGGATGTCTCTTGATGAAGGATCCACGGAGGAAGGTGAAGGAGCGCTCTGAATGTCTCTTGACGAAGGATCCACAGAGGAAGGTGAAGGAGCGCTCTGAATGTCTCTTGACGAAGGATCCACAGAGGAAGGTGAAGGAGCGCTCTGAATGTCTCTTGACGAAGGATTCACAGAGGAAGGTGAAGGAGCGCTCTGAATGTTTCTTGACGAAGGATCCACGGAGGAAGATAAAGGCGCGCTCTGAATGTCTCTTGATGAAGGATCCACGGAGGAAGGTGAAGGAGCGCTCTGAATGTCTCTTGACGAAGGATCCACAGAGGAAGGTGAAGGAGCGCTCCGAATGTCTCTTGACGACGGATCCACGGAGGAAGGTGAAGGAGTGTCCAGCACAGGCCTATGACCACGGCCTCTTCCTGTAAAGAGAGTTCGGAAGCGATTGAATTTCCGTCTTAAGTTTAAAGGATTCATGGAGGAAGGTGATTGAGACAGCTGGGGAGCGTCCAGCACGGCTTATAACCATCGCCGGAGTGGGTGAATTCTGCGAGCGCCCGAGCACAGGTCCAGTGGGCAATGGGCATATGGCTATGTGTGCCATGAGGCATATACGAGGACTCAGAATACCTCACCTCGAAGATTCGGAACTCACGGCACCTCTGTGTTGCAAATTTGAGCGATCGTGATAATCATATGGATTACATTCAGAAGGACGTGATGAGACTGCAAGTTTACAACTCAGTGCATGGGCACTGTGCAGGTTCACCCTGGGCGGCAGTCTAGATTCCAAATGATAGATTCAAGAAGCCTTCAACTTGAAGAAGTGACAGTTGTTCTGATTCTGTATTAGCACAAAACGCCCTGCCCCCATGATGCGGCCATGTTCTGTGCGTGAACCTATCGACCCTACTCAAACCCTACTACCAATTTGTCCGAGTCTCCATATGTAGTATCGATACACATCGCCCTTGGGCCTCAAGGACTTATCGATCATCGACATCAACCGTTCCAGCCTAGATTTCCAGGCTGTTTTCAATTTTGGGCCTTCTTCTCTTCACCCACATGTTTCCATTTCATAATGACGACTAAAGTGTTGGCCGTTAATACATACCGTACTGGCCCAGGGTACACCATGAGGCATTCACGATGATACCTCACTTTAGCGCAGCTAACGCATGACATCCCTGATAACAGATCATCGACGTCTTCGGTAGCAGTGCTCGACCTCCGTGGAGGATCGACACACTCACTCACTGTCGACAGGTCAGCATATTCTGAGCTCGATAACCCTCAACCTCGACATAGAAGCAATACACCCACAATGATGTCAGTGGATCAGCAAGGCTTGAGCTAGATAGGAGAAAATTAGTTGGCAACGTCGTCAGTCAGCAACTCGATCTCAATGGAGGAACAACACCCACCCGCTGTCAAGGGATCATTAATTGATTCGGCCAGCAAGGCTCGAGCTCGCTAGAGAGAAAACATGCTCACAAAGTATCGAGGCTTCAGTAAATTCTTTGGTTCGTAAGGCTCGAGCTCGACAACAAAAGAGAAAACTCAGTCTCTGTTCAAGGAACCGACAACGTCTTGAGTCAACAAGATCCGAGCTCGGAGAAAGACCAGCAGACTCACAAGCTGTGGCTCGGATAGTGTCGTTGTATGGGACCAGACATAATGCGTTTTCCATCAGGCGACGATGGGACAGAATGAACAAAGTCTATATCGGAGAGGGCAAACAATGCCTGGTCAGTCTTCATGTTCTACACTTGCATCTAATCGAGTATATAGAAACATGCGCACCTTGGTCAGAGGTTAAGATACTCGATCCGCCATTCGCAGTGATGAATCTATACATGAAGGTCAGTCGCATATAAAGCCGAGATGGAAGCCTATACATCTGCAATTCAGTTGGCGATGCTCAGACGGAATCGCGGCAGAGATGTCGATCGCATGGGGAGAGCATTCCTGAAGTAGTGCTTTGACAATTCCCAGTACTGAGCTGATACCTTTGGCTGCGTCCGCGGTTATTTTATTCACAAACTTCGTGTCGAGTGGTGGGTACTGATGACAGACCTTCAGTATGTTATCGAAAAAGTCGTTCGGGACTGCGTTGGTTAAACTTACCATTGATGTGATCATATGATAGGCATATCTTTCTACGGCGATAACGTCCAAGTGCCTTCGCTTCGATCACCACCTTAGTGCTATTTCCTGGGAGGGTCTTTCTTCTTGCAATAAGACTATACGTAGATTATGAGCCTGGGGAGGTCTCTGGGGACAAGGATGAACGGTATAGTGGATGACATGAGTATAAACAGGCGGTTGTCGCATGTAAATCTATATCACGAAGGCTCTCATTCACATCTTCAGGGAGATTTCCGCACTGGTGGCAAGTCAGGGTCCGGAGCCTGAGGTGACAGGACTTGCAGGTGGTGAGGTTTTCGAGATCATCTATACTCGTCTCGCATCACTGTGACAGGTACAAAATCAAGATGCTAGATCGGGATTGCTTAGCATGAGGTCATAGAAAAAACATGAGAATGACAATGGACTGATCTCGCACGCCAAACATCATTTCTATAACTTCAACTACGTATCTTCACCCCGTTGGTAGCGCACGTTAGCTCCTCTCAACCAAACCGACGGACGGTGGATTTGTGTTCGAATTTTAATGGAGGAGGCGTTAAGTGGGTGTGGGAGCCCGAGAGCCCGGAGCCCAGTGAATCGGAAATGAAGATCGCTTGGAACACGGACCCTGAAGCAAACAGTGGGCGCCAGAAGCCATGCCAGCATGCTTGGATGATGCGCTGCGCATTGTGGCGCGCAAACAACCAACCAAGATGAAAGACAAGATGTATGTACAGCTTAACATCCTAGTACTGGTCGACGGACAGGTAGTTGTAGCGGTAGCCTAGTCCCTGTTGTATTGCTGTGCAGGATTCGCCAGGAAGCCTTCTCTAGTAACTCGAGTCCCTGGAATGTTTTGCATGTCCTTGCAAGCGACGTCCGAGACAGTGCACGTATCGGACTCTGGAATAAGCGGGACTCTCCCTATGGTACTACCTGAGGAATAAAAACACGAAAAATGAGTGTTCCCAGGACGCCCTTGGTGCTCAGGGACCTAAAGACACAAGTTAACGGCTGATGGTCACGGATCAGTGCCTAAGCAGCTGAAAGTGTCTTACTCATTGGGGAGCCGTGCATGGTGCGCATATCGGTCTCTGGAATGAGCGGGACTCTCCCTATGGTACTACCTCAGGAGCGAAAACACCAAGTTCGAATTTTTCGTTTGCACATTTTTCAAAGTCAATCGGCAAATTCCGCAATACGATTTCATTACCTGTTTAATCTCTTACTTCACAATATTAATGTCTAGTCGTTGTGCTATCTGCCGCGTCCTATAGACACTAGTGGTACTCAAAACAAATTTTGAAATTCTTGAAAGCTCGCTAAACTGCGTTCAACTCCCTTCAACTCCCTGCTAAAAGTTTGAATGAACACGCGCAAGTCCGAGAGAAATATGCTCGGCACACATCGGCATGTAGTCGGACTTTAAAACGACACTTGTGATTTTCAAAGCGTGCTATGTACATAGGGGAAAGTGGTAGAGTAGCGGTCCAACATACTTGTATTTCAAATGAAAGCATTAATAAAAATTGTAAAAAAACAAGGCCACCGGGCAGGAATGAAATCAGCTGTAGGTAGGGAGCGTGGGAGGGACCAAAATAAGTGCCGAGGGGAGGAGGGGGGGATGCTGAGCAGCTGGGGGGGGAGGAAAAGTGTCGGGAGGAAGATCTGCATGCCTCCGTGGAGACGCAAGATCAAGCGCCAAGAGTACGGCCATCTTCGATGCTTTCCAGCGGAGATGGGGCACTGGTCAGGTGGGGCGCGCGTGGGATCTGAACTAGAATAGATTTTCTGTAAGATAAGGGTGAATGTTAGTGCAACTTGCGAGAGGTGCAAGGAATACTTACCTTGGGTGGATGACACCCGGGAATTTGATGGTGTCCTGCTCGACGCTGTGGATGAGCATCGAGGTTCGAGGGTGAGGTCAGCGACGACACCGGCGTGTTCAGTGCGAAACGAAACTTCGGAACTTTCCGAAAATTTAAACTCCGCCAAAAAACTGCGTCACATATGCACCAAATAGATAGGAGTTTTGATCCCACACCCACTGTAGCTCCCACCACAACTATGCCTTGTCAATCCACACGTAAAGAGCTCCTGAATATCGTGGATCAGGCTGCACTTTCTTTGGCCAGGTTGCAATATCAGGGTATCCTAGATGACTGGTCGGACTTTGAGAGCGATTCCGGCTCCAAGGACTCACTTTCTACTACTGATTCAGACGATGTTACAATCAGTCTGTCTTTTAGCCCTCCTTCCCCCCTATCCCCCCTTTCCCCTATGACAGGGATTTCGGATTCTTCCAGTTTTAGTTCTGTATCTTCTGATGATGTCACTTTGCCTTACGACAGGCTTCGAGACACCATTGATGCTCTTCGTGATGAGGTTAAGAGGGCCCGCATACTCCAGAAGCCTGACGAGCCTCCTCCACGAGCACCTCAGCTTCACATGCTGGTCCATCATGAAGAACACCGCCCTCACTTGTTTCGGCAGAAACTTCGTGTCAACCCCGAGATCTTTGACGACATCCTCGATTATATCTCTGATCACCCTATCTTCCAAAACCAGTCCAACAATCCTCAGCTCCCTGTCTCCATCCAGCTCGCCATCTTTCTGAATCGGGCAGGCCACTATGGCAATGCCATTACTCTTGAGGATGTTGCTCAATGGGCAGGCGTGAGTGTCGGGTCCGTGGTTAATTGCACTAATCGTGTGATGATTGCGGTACTTGATGCCCATGATCAGTTTATCTGCTTCCCAGCAGGTAATTCTGAGGATGCTGACCTGGCTCGCAAATTTGCCAAGTCACGTACCTGTCCAGAGTGGAAAGGTGGCTTTCTAGCCATCGATGGCTCGACTATGAATCTGTTCACAAAACCTGGTTATTATGGTGAGACATTCTATGATAGGAAGTCCAAGTATTCCCTTGGCTGTCAGGTAACATTTTTTTTCATCCTCATGTGCAAAAATTAATTTAATTCTAGGCAGTCATCTTGCCCCACAATCTCCTGATTGTTGATTATTCTCTCGGTCACCCTGGGAGTGTCCATGATGCATTTGCTTTTCGATCCACTCGCCTCTATGAAGAGCATGCCGATCTTCTGCCAGATGGTCATTGGGTTTGGGCGGACAGTGCTTATCCATTGGAACCATGGTGTATTGCCCCTTTCAAGAAGCCTCGCAATGGTTGGCTGACGAAGAACCAGAAGACATTCAATTATCACCTCTCTAAGGTATTTTTTTTTTTAGTGGTTTTCCATTGATTTACATTTATTTAGATTCGTGTTTGTGTTGAACACACATTTGCTGTTTTGAAGGGACAGTTCCAGTCCCTTCGAGAGCTACGGTTCAGGATTCAGGCTGAGAAAGACCTTGAGTTTGCTGTGCAGTGGATCAAGTGTTGCATCATCCTGCACAACATGATCATTCGCTTTGAAATCGAGCATCGCAAGAAGGATGGAACATACGAGAGTTCTCTCAAGTGGGCTCGTACGGAGGGGGAAGATTTTGTTGATCAAGAGTTTGAGGGTCCAGATGGTGAAGAAGTAGTTGGTGACAGGACATATGATGGCACTCTAGGTCAAGCTGCCTGTGCAAAGTTGATGGATGAGCTTTTTAACAGTCCTCACTCAGATGCACAACACAGGGAAGGATGATCACTGACACAATACTTTCTTGAACATGTACTACTACTAAAACACTTGTACAACAAATGTATATAGCTATGTAACATCAATCAAAGAAGTACTGACAAAACAACAAACATATGTCCAATGAAAACAACATGGTGACAACAATAAACTGAAACATGATGACAGCAGCAATGGACGGGGATGACGAGACGACGCGACGACGACGAGAACAAAATAAGCAACACAACAACTCACTCAACTCCTCCATCTGATCTCGGGCCCTTGTTTGCCTGCATCATTTGATGGAACTGAATTTTGAGTCGAAGATTCTCCGCTTCCTTGTCGAGCACCAATGAATGTGCTTCGTGGACTCGAATGTCCGCCTCACGTAGACGAATCTCGGCATCTTTAGACTCCTGCAGACGCTGATGGCTGACAGTGGCCTGGGAGGTCTCATGCTCGCAGGTAGCACGAAGCCATTCGTACTTCTTGATGTCGCGATTGTGCTCACTCTTCACCTCGAGCTTCGCGAGGAAGCGATGGTGTTTGTGATCGTGGCGTGACATCGCATCAGAGTGCATAGACGCGAGCTCATCCTTAACCTTGTCTACCTGCTGCATCACATCCGGCTTCGCCTTCTTCTTCTTCGAGCCGCCGCTGTTTGGAAGCGAAGTCTGGGGGGTCGAGGACATAAGGTAGTCCGACGAGGAGGTAGTGTTGCATGTCGTGGATGAATGCGCTGATGTGCTGACCAAGACCTCCAATGGTAGGTTGCGTTGCCTCCCACGGCTTGGTGGCTTCTGCGTGCGAAATGCCGAGCGGCTGTTGTAGGCAGACACTGGGGATTTTTCTGGCACATTGAATGGTTCGGGAGCATCGGGAGGGGGAGACGGCGATGAAGGGAGCTGGTGTTTCTTCCCTGCGACTTTGGAAGAGCTATCGGCCCTCTCATCACCTTCGAGGTGATGTAAGGCGTCTCCGAGGGGGGCATCAAATGGGTCACCGGTGTCAAGAGAGTCCACGTCAGCAATGTCGACGTCAGCGTCTGACGTCGGAAGGCCAGGAAGATGGATTTGAGGGGACATATTGTAGGGGGGAGCGGGAGCAGGTGCGGGTGCGGGAGCAGGTGCGGGTGCGGGAGCGGGAGCATGTGCAGGAGCAGGTGCGGGTTGTTGCAGCGCCGGATCGATCAAGGGATCACCATGTGAACCCCCAGCATACGGCGTTGCTAGCGGATACCTCGGATAGTGTCATGAATGTTACCAACTGCATCTAAAATTCGATTATCAAACCCTAAGTCACCTTATCCGATAAGATTAGATTAGATAGATCCCTGATAAGATAAGATGGATAACCGATTAACGATCACTATCTTCACATCACATCTATACTACATCGACGTCATCCATCTATATCCGTAACCCTAGACATACGAACTCATCACATCCTTAAGAAGTCCTACGATTAGGCAACGGGTTACATCATAAGCATCTACATGCCTCTATGATCGAACCATAACCGAGAGTCCTTTACGAGCTATCTCTCAAAGAGTCATCATCCCTTCACATCGCAGACCTTCACTTCCCACACATGACATGTTAAGAGTTACCTCTGTCATTCACCGAATCCCTTACATTGGAACCTGTTGCACAGTCACAGCTAAACCCTATCACAGAAGCACCACTCATAGAGAAGCATGCTCATTACCGAAGACCCTGGAGAAACCCTTAGATACGATCGAACCCGATACATCTCCAGATCCCATCTCTTATCGAGATCCTTAATTACCACTCGAGACTTCTTGTCACAGAACTCTCTCACCCTTCTTAATCTTCGTCCACCCTGAAGAGAAGCAGTACCCTGAGAACCCTGCTTAATTACCGATACCCCTATGAACCCTTTCTCCTTTCTTGTAGTTGATTGGTTGATAAGACGCCCTATACCCTAGGTGCAATGTTATGACCGTATATAGATATATCACAACCTTTCATACTCAGATATCTCCGCCTAGAGAGTAGTATATAGTTTAGGTCGTAGTCAGTAGTACTCCTTAGACTTAACCTCTTTGTTCTTACGCTATCGTAGGCCTAGACGTTCCCTCTCAAATCTATCCTTGCTTTATCCTTCTTCAGACGAGTCCTGTGGTGTGATCCAAACTCCAGACACCTACTAGTTAGGTTAAGGGACGTTGGTCATAACAGATAGTATTGTTGGCCGTAATGTGGGGGCAGAGTGCTGGAAGGATAGGTGTTGTGCTCGGGATATGCGTGAGGAGGTGGCTGAGTGTTGGCGCCAGGATATACATGCTGTGCATCTGGGTGCGCGTCAAACTGCATGGGGGGACCGCCCCCACCACGTGATTGAATCAGGGAATATAAGGCGCCGGCGTGATCGACACCGGGTTTTGACAAGTAGGTTTTCGTGGCCATGGACGGATTAGCATGCCAAATGGCATCTAATTCCGTGTACCATGGGAGCTCTGCCAGCGCCACATCTACAACAACTGATCAGCCGAGGACCGGAAACTCAGGACCAAAGACTCACCCAATAAGTTTCTCATTTGCGTGCCCTCAGCTGGTATCACACCAGCGCCTGTGCTGTCAAAAGACGCCTTGATTTTCTTGTATTTACCCCTGAGACTGGATGAATTTTAATATTTTTTATCAACGGAACAAAAAAAATGAAAGTGCTCACGTTCCAATGCGGTTGCAGACTGCATCGCGGATTTTTTTTGCATTGACGGAGTATGCATAACCATACTTGGGGTGATTTGTGAAGATTAGTTTGGCCAGGGTACCGTAAATCTGTCCTTTGTCCGAGCCTGAGGGACCGTCATCAGCAGTAGACATCGCTTTCTTCCCATCAGAGTAGAATAGAATCCTGCAGTCAGCGGGGTGCGTAGTAAGATAAGTAACAAGTAGATCAGTGAGAGCGTGGTCGCTCTGCCACTGAATAGTTAGGCGGGGTGCAGATTGCTCTGGAGGCGCTTTGAGCGATCCTCGAGAGTTTGAAGTTTCATCACCCATCGCCGTCGAGCAGTGCACTAGAGGGTTGGTTTTGAGGCGTGCAGAACGACAGACACGTTGATGAGAAGGAGGCATAGTTATTAAAACTCCGCCGAGCGATGCCGGCCTGACTTTCAATCGCTGTGCATCGGCCGAAGTTTTTGAAGCCGTTTAGCCGCGAGTTGAAAGCGTTTAGCCGGTGTTTAAGTGAAGTTTCAAGAGTTTCAAAAGTTGTTTTGAGTACCACTACTAATTGGTGGGTCGCTCAACACGTGAGGATAAGGCTGTTGCATCTGCCGAATATATTCCCACCTCAGACTCCGCTGGTATCGTTGACAACTATGATGAGTTATATCCTTTGTACCGGTGGGAAGGCCCCACTGGTGCTCTGAATGCAGAGTGATGATAAAACAACCCGAGCGTCTATGATGGATCAGAATGGAACACCAAGTACTTCAAGTGACGATACGATGAATCAAGTCGTTGGTGCCGTTGTGGTCTGGCGTTCTGTAGTAGGAATGATGACCTTGAATCATTATTTGAACATTTACTTCATACACCGTGCCACTAGGAAGCGCCAGCGTCTCGAGCTCGATGAATGGGAATCGTACTAAGTAGACAGAACCGTTGAGAAAACTCGCATTGCAATACCGCTTGAGATGTACATCAAGCTGTTAGTTAAGATAGTCAACAGGGTTAGCCGCCGTCTCATGATCTCGGGTGACTGACATGTTTGACGCACGAATACACATCCCATGAAGAAGTTACATACTACAACCATTTGGTACAGTGCCGCAGTCTCGAACCACCCAACAGACCGTCCAGCACGGCTTATAACCACTGCCAGAGTGAGTGAATTCTGCGAGCGTCTGATCACAGGTCCAGTGGGAAATGGGCATATGGCTATGTGTGCCATGAGGCATATACGAGGACTCAGAATACCTCACATCGAAGATTCGGAACTCACGGCACCTCTGTGTTGCAAATTGAATGATCTTGATAATCATATGAATTACATTCAGAAGGCATGTGCACTGCGCAGGTTCACCCTGGGCGGCAGTGTAGATTCCAAATGATAGATTCAAGAAGCCTTCAACTTGACTCAGAAGTGACAGTTGTTCCGATTCTGTATGATGGATCTGTATTAGCTGTGCACAAAGCACCCTGCCCCCATGATGCGGCCAGTGCTAGTGAAGCCTGTTCTGTGTGTGAACCTATCGACATGAGGCATTCACGAGGATACTTCACTTTGGCGCAGCCGACGCATGACCCGCGCTCAACCTCTAGGTACATCTACCGCGACGCTTCCCTCGTTCTCCCCAACTCGAGTGACCATGGCCAATTCTCTTCAAGCTCACACCGCCGTTCCCTGTCCACTCCACATCTCCGGTACTCAATTCTCGCATCAGTTGAATTATGAGTCCTACTGAATATACCGAATAGGCGTCTCTGTCGATTTCAGCAGGTCGAGAAAGAATGTAGAATCTGCTCAAGTACGAATCGGCAAATTGCACATGCCAATCGAACGCGGTGCAGGAAAGGCTTGGCAACAGACATTTTCTCCGCCCATGTAATAACTTGATTGGCCAGGACAAATGTGCCCGTCTGACCTGCTGTTGTCCTTTTCAGGAAGCTTTCTGTTGGAGATTCATTTTCCGTACGTATACACTACAAGAAATGGTTAGGCATGAAGGCCGATCATGAAGACATTGCTTTCGAACTGGAAGACATGTTACGCGTGTCTGGTTCAGAACACGACAGACAAGGTCGAGCAATAACCACCGCTCTCTCACCTTAATCATTCAACGCCACATTCGCAGAATACAACAAGATTCACAAAAAATTCAGGATAGTCATCGAACTTTCCAGTGACGCAACCACCGAAGTAGGATCCATGTCGGATCTCCAGCCTACCACTGACGAAATCATTCGGATTTGTCCTCGGTGAGTCAGGATTACTATGAAGGGCCGTTCTTCGGGTTGACACCAGAGGCTCCCAAGGTTCCGAATTCTGGTGATAGGAAAGGTATCAGGATTTCGCTGTTCTCGGGTCAGTGTTGACACGGTGCTTCCAATAGACCGGTGTTGGCAAGTCCTCGTTGATCAACCTCGCATTTGGGGTGCAAAACGCGGTGAGCTACTTGCGATACTTCACGGAGAGTTACTCATGCCATCTCCATAGCTCACTTCGCATGATAAGGCGGGTGAAGCTAACATCAACACCGAGTTCATATCACGACAGAACGAGCGATTCGTTCTCCACGATAGCAAAGGTTTCGAACCAGGCGGAGATGACAACCTCACTATAGTCAAAAAATTCATCGAAAGTCAGAGAAAGATGCCTGATCTGAAAGATCAGCTGCATGCTATTTGGTAAGTTTTCTGTCTCGATGAGTTTGTATAGCAAGCTGACGCCACCCACGGAAGGCTTTGTTTCGAAATACCCCGCGAAGGCGGGCGTTTACTCGAGACTGGTACAGAGGAATTCCTGGCATTAAAGCGTGAGGGCGCGCTGGGAAACAGTACGTCAATCGATGACTATGGCTCTGAGCGTGTGGCAGCTCACCCTTTGGTCAAAGTCCCCAGTCGTCGTCGTTCTCACTAAATTTGACATGTTCATCGACCGCGTGGATCACACCCTGGATGAATCCTTGCTCGAAGGATTGAGCAACAGCGCGATCCACGAACTCATCACGAAGAAAGCGGATACCGAGCTACAGGAGGTCTGCATCGGACCCCTACAGCAATTTGCAGGGTCTGACATCCCCTACACCACGGTCTCTAGTGGGTACTACTACTGCGATCGTTTCGTGCATGTCCTCTGATATATATCCAGCCAAGGAAGACCACAAAGAAACACTAGCCCATCTTATCGAGACGACTGAAAGCCACGTCCGACAGAATTTTCCGTCCGAGGCGTGGGTGATGACCTCCATCGCTCAACGAGTGAACCCTGGACTCAAAATCAAGGCCTCGATAGAGTAAGTTTTGTTTGCTTCATTGTTATCTCGCAATTTACGTATCATTAGGGTCGGCAAGAGAAGTCAGTCTCAATTCCGATTACTGAATACGATCTGAATCTTCATGTCTGTTTTACAGAATATTGGAAAGCGCTCGTATCAAGCGCAGCATTCAAGAACCGAACGACATGGAGCTGTCTGGGTGTGGTTCATACTGACATCATTGCTGTGTGGAACTTCCAAGACCCTCATAAAGTAATCTTATTTTTTGTTGTCGTCGCATTTACTTATTCTGACGCGATTTACGCACAGTACTTGGACAGCCCCGAATTCAGGACATTGATGGTTAACCTTGTCGATAAGAAGATAGAAACTGGACCTACAGCTGATCCCAGCAGGACCATGTAGGCCGGTGTTTTATGCGACAGATGTCATCTCATGAAATGTTCAGTGCTATCGGGCTCTCCATGGTAGGTACTATCGCGGGCATCATGTCTGCCCTGGCGGGACCAGCGGCTCCCATCGTGGTGCCGATCGTGGCGGGCGTCGTACTCGCCGTATGGGTTCATGACGTGTACCAGCAGTCGTATGTACCTTTACTTATCCTTCATCGAGAGAATACTGAGAGATCCCCGTCAGCTGCGTGGTGCTTCAGCGCTTCATGACATATATCGTCGACTTGACCCTTGTGTTGCAGACACTTTATCTTGTGTCGGAAAGCAAGGAACTATCTCGTAGGGCCATCAAGCTCGCTGTCGCTGCCTATCATGCCTCACCAACGAGCGAAGAAGTTCATGCTGGAATTCGGAAGTATGACCGGGACTTGACACTCCTGGTGTGTGCGGATCGTGATGCCTTGGATAAAATCATCGAGTTGATGCAACTGTATAGCATTGATGCCGCGACAATTTTCGACCTTCGGAAACAGATTCCAGCTGTTGGTTCATTACCGGATGAATTGTGGGAAGACTGTCAAGGCATAGATCTCATTCTTTCCTTTGAGTATGATTTGCAGTTCTGGCAGGGTATCTGGTTACGGATTGCAGTGATATCATGATTTGTAGTAAATTTACGGGCTGCTGTACGTTACAATAGACTGTATTCTATCAACATCCTGATAACAGATCACCGACCACCTGCTCCTGGCAGTATTATCCATAACCATAGCTAACTAGACAGATGTGGTTATACTTCCTGCTCACGGATCCTCGAGGATATCCTTCATTATCCATCATCCATTACCTTCCTGCTCACGGATCCTCAAGGATATCCTTCGTTATCCATTATCCATTACCTTACTCCCGCTGCTCCATAGTACCCGGTGCCTGCTGTCCCGCTTATATAACGGTTGATTGATCTTGATCGTGATCCCCTATGAGATCTGAGCATACCAGGGCTTCGTTGTAGATCCCCTACAAGATCTGAGCATATGAGGGTCCAGGGCCTCTGTTGTAGCTTCTTGAGAACGCCCTGTCGATCACGCGAGTTTAGAAATTAAAAGTCTGTATTTAGTATAAATAAAAGGTACATCAAAATGTACCGACAGTACTAGCCAGTCGTGCTGATGGATGGGATGGGAGCTGCGGTTGCCTCGGGATAAAGGAGGGCGGGCACGATACTCCACTTGGTTTGGGACTCTATTACGTAACGAGGCACGAGCGAAGAACTAGAGTTTAGTCTTTGCGCGAAGCAACGGGTGCAGTACGAACCCTTTGCCTTCGTACTGCAACGGTCCCTCCTCTCAGCTCAGTCGTCCTCAACGACTTCGTCTCTTTTCTTTTCTTTTCTTTCTCCACAGCTATGTATCCTTCGCATTGCATTTCCTTTTCTATTCTCTCTCCTGGAACAACATTGAACGAACTTCCGTTTTCTCCCGGCTCCACATGGACCGCATTCTCGCCGACCCAGCACTTGAGGCGCAACCCAATTTCGAGTCCGCTGCATATGCAGGGTGGCTCAACACACTCACTATAGGAGGAACAACCAGAGAGGATGCTCTCGCGCAGATGGCAGAAGGTTGGAGGATTGAGCGCCAGGAGCGCATTGACCTCTGGCAACAACAAAGTGAAGCAGATGCCCGTGCACAGCAGGATCAGGAAGAGCTCAATCGAGCCAAGAAGGAAGCCGAAGAGCAAGAAGAACAGCATGAAGCTGAGAAGAAGAAACCCAAGATTAACGACTTCAACACCAACACAACCGTCGCAGACGTTCTCATCCCATGTCCTTCCCAGTTCGCCCTACAGAAAATAAAAAACATGGAGTACGTAGAATTATGGTATTTTAGTCCGGACAGCTGTTGCGATGCCTCTGACAACTCCAGGTCCTCTTCTGAAGATGCCTATGGCTTTGCAAAAGTTGAGGGCATGGTTGCCCTCAAACCAGTCGCATCATTCAAAGCTTCGCAAAAAGCTCTGCAAGACCACGACCTCTCCTGGCGGCAATTCGACCTGGCGAAAACCAGCTTCCTCGTCCATCTCGAGAAGTGCAACTGGCCGGAGAAGCACCAGCAGGCTCTAGCCATGTTTTTCATGCTCATTACCAACCACGAACATCGAACGCGCTCACGCAGGGAGAAGACCCTGCTT